CAACTAAAACAGACAGATCCAACGATTGTGCAACATCTTTGGGCTTCTTCGGCTGGATCACTGCCTCATTAGCCAGCCAGATCGCTCATGTGCAAGATATTTTTGCACGGGTCAACATACTCTTCCTCCCAGTAGAAGCCTGAACATCGTCCACTGCCATCCCACTAAAATTAAAACAAAAAATTAGAACTTTAATCACAACCATCATAAAAATAGGTATAAACTAACCATAATCATTAAATACGATAAAATAACTCACATTGCGATCCAGACACTTGTAGAAGATACGATCTTTGTTGGGATCCTCCTTCTTCACTCGGTACTCCATCACAATTTTCGCCTCATCACGACACTTGTTTGCATGGAATGAGAGGAGGCCCGCCTAAGTCGCTTTTGGAAACCCATGAGAGGCCGAGGACCCGAAGCAGCCCATCTACTCTCTATACTCATTTTAATACACTATAAATTTCTCATTTTATAAACAAATAAAATTAAGAAACTATAAAATTATCTATATCTCAAAAACATATTTTAATAAATAACCATCCGTACTAGTTGACCTTGCTTACATGATCATCTCGGCGAGCATTTCTCTACCGGACGGCACCGTACTTGGTCAAGGAAGAGCTCCGATTCTACGAGGAAGGGAACACGGTCTTCCACGACCGTTGCCGCTCTCACTCGTAGAATCAAAGCTCCTCCTTGACGTCCGTTACCGCTCGACAGACAACATTTTCGCCAAGATGAACACGGTCCGCAAGTTCAACTAGTACGGATTTTCTATAATTTTCTAACTATTTTCTAAGTTTATATTTATATACATACTACGTTTGGGTACGGTGATTGATGTACTCATCGCGATTTATATCGGGACATATGAATAAATAACCATCCGTACTAGTCGAACTTGCTTACGTGATCATCTCGGCGAGCATTTCTCCATCGGACGGCACCGTACTTGGTCACGGAAGAGCTCCGATTCTACGAGGAAGGGAACACGATCTTCCACGATCGTTGTCGCTCTCCCTTGTAGAATCAAAGCTCCTCCTTGACGTCCGTTACCGCTCGGCAGAGAACATGCTCGCCGAGATGAACACGGTCCGCAAGTTCAACTAGTACGGATTTTCTATAATTTTCTAACTATTTTCTAAATTTATATTTATATATATACTATGTTTGGGTACGGTGATTGATAGACTATCATGCGATATATCGGGACATGTGAATAAATAACCATCCGTATTAGTTGACCTTGTTACGTGATCATCTCGGCGAGCATTTCTCCACCGGACGGCACCGTGCTTGGTCAAGGAAGAGCTCCGATTCTACGAGGAAGGAACACGATCTTCCACGACCGTTGCCGCTCTCCTCGTAGAATCAAAGCTCCTCCTTGACGTCCGCTATTGCTTTCGGCAGAGAACATGCTCGCCGAGATGAACACGGTCCGCAAGTTCAACTAGCTACTTTAACCTTCTTTCATGTAAATATGCAAGCTTGAAATGATTTTGAGCTCAAATTGCTTACAAATGAAAAAACCACAATAAAGAACCATATATATATATAGTGAACAAAATGAGATGAGACAATTGTGAAAAATGAGAGTATGAGATTGGTAACCTTTACAACTCAAGAATCGATTTGAGGAATCAAGAAATCGACGGAGAGAATCAAGAATGGATGGAGGAACAATGGAGGAGGGAGGAAGCAAGAACACTAGTGCACCGAGCTTCAAAATGTGCTTGAGCTCGGGCTCGGGAGGAAGAAGGAGACGGCCGGGATATAAAGGGGGACCTTTAGTCCCGGTTGGTGGCTCCAACCGGGACTAAAGGTAACTTTCCAACTCCGGACGCAGCCACGGCCCGGGAGTAGACCTTTACTCCCGGTTGGAGCCACCAACCGGGAGTAAAAGTATACCTTTAGTCCCGGTTGGTGGCTCCAACCGGGACTAAAGGTCCTCGCCACCTCTTTGGCAAGATGAGCCGTTAGGCGGGGACCTTTAAGTCCCGGTTGGAGCCACCAACCGGGACTAAAGGTATCTCTAGTCCCGGGATCAAAAAATGCCAGGATTAGATCCCATTTTAGCCGAGGATCAAAGATCTGTTCTCTACTAGTGGTACGTATGATCAGCAGCGACTAATAACACAAGAAACGATTTTAGAAGGGAAGGGAGGATATTGTTCTCCACTTATCCATTTCGATGATTTAAGACAACCACAAACACAAAAATTGTTGAGATGTAGACTGCTAGCACACATTTGTTCGAGTATAGTTCTCTGAACCAGAGTACGTTTGCTAGAGGCATGCATCCAACGAAGCTTGCAGCTTGCTTAATTTCGACAGTTCTACCATGTGTTTCATGAGGCAGACAACACAAAAGGACAGCTCCCACGCAAGCCTTACTTTTTCAGTGAAAAAATAGTGCTTTTCTCTCAACGAATCAACGAACGGTAGCTTGTCTTTTCCTTGCATTGCCCGATAGCCAATAGATAGGGCCCCGGATCATCATCACCCGATCCCCGCGCAAAGGAAAGCAGCAAGAAATCGATAAGACCTGGCTACTCGAACTGCTTTCACATCCCCGCCCGCCGCACGCGTACGTACCACACACGTGAGCAATCGTCGACGCTTGATTCTTCCTTTCAATCGGTCGGTCCAAACCCTAGTTTCTTCGATCGTCGTCGGCCAATCTCCGTCTTCCAAACTGTACGTACGTACCAACCATGCACCCGGAGCCGAGCCGAGGAAGCCCCCGACAATGGCGGACCACGCCACCTCACGCGCACACGCACAGGCGCGTTCGCGCCGCGTGGTGCTGCGTGCACCTCGGAACCTCCGGTCGACCGGTCCTCTTCCTCTCCTCCACGCCGCGGGCCCCGCCGGCGACTACTAGCTAGGCAGGCGAAGCGAATGGCGAGGAGGGACAAGCTCCACGCGGACGATTCCCCTCCGCGGGCCCCATTCCTTGCGGGCGGGCCGGGGGCTGGGGGAGGCGCCAACGTGGGAAAGTGGCCGGCGGGGCCCAGCGGTGGCCCACCCCAGACAGCGACGTGGCGCCGAGCTGCCGAGCGCCGGTGGTGGAGGCCCGCGACGGCTCCGTCAGGGTGGTTGGCACGTGGGGCAAGCCCACCACCAAAAGCGACCCGGGCCGGTGGCGGCTGCTATGACGGGTGGGGCCGCCACCGCGCGGGGCCCGGACGCCAGCGAGCGCGGGGGCAGGTGCGGGATCGGGGCGACGTGTCGGCGTTCCCACCCCATGCGTGCGTCCGTGGACGGAGGACGTGCACGCCGGGGTTTTTAACCAGATTTTTTTCTTCTTTTTTTTCCCGTCCGATTCGCTCGTTCACGTGTAATTGCGTTCGCATGTCTCTTAATTGCTAGTGGTTTGTTACAGCAGGAGCACACCATTAAATCCTGCCACTGTATCTTGTTTGCGTAAACACATTTTCCTCCTCTACTTGGCAGCCACTGCTAACCATTAACCTTTTTTTCTATACATATTACTCGTGTTATATTCTTATACTCCATTCCTTTCAAATTATAAGACATTTTGATTTTTTATAATTTTAATACTATATATCTAGACATAAATGTATATCTGGATCCATAGCAAGATTTATGTATTTAGAAATGTCAAACGTCTTATAATAATCTGGAATATAGAGAGTATTTTGTATATGCATATTTACAAGTGAGTATGTAGTAAATACAAATCTCCTCACGGTATCGTACTATTCCAATCCTTTCGAAACATACGGCATACTAGAATCCAAAGAACTCATAAGTTTTTACCGCCGATTAGTCATATAGCATACATATCTTTCAAAATATACGAATTTCTTTTGTAGCAAATAATAGCATATTTAAGCGCAATTGATGGTCAAAGTATACTTCTAAAGACTTCCCCAAATTCTAATACGATATGTAAAAATAATTGGATGGAGTCTTGAACTACGAGAATTGTTGTGCAATACAAGTACATAATAATTTATATTTGTATACATTTATTAATGCTAGCAAATATATTGGTTTATATCAGTATTGTTGCTATGTCAGTGATGGCCACCCCATGTCTGTCTCATTTGATCTATATGTTGATTGCCATTGCCTCATTGGTGGCAGTTAAAGGTTCGTTTGACATGTATGTGTATAAACTACGTGATGATATGTTCCAATCAGTGACCCTTGCAAAAAAATATGTTCGTCCAATCAATGACGAAGTACGTGAAAATTATGTGAACCAGTAGCCACATACACAAGTGGCGTTTAAACATATTCAGAGTTGTCAAATAGAACTTGTAGAATACAGAAAAACAGTCCAGCTGGAAGTTCTGTTAGCAATGTTTAGCTTTCTTTCTTTAAGTTGCCGCTGACTTTACTCTGAGGATCGTCTACTTCCTCTCAATCTATGGCCTATGCACACAACATTAGACGACCAGGCTGCTCAGTATTAAATATAGACTAACTATAAAACTAATTGTATAAGCATTCACGAGACGAATCTATTAAGTCTGTCTAATTAGTCCATGATTAGCGAATGTGATGCTACAATAAACATATGTTAATTATGGATTAATTAGACTTAATAAATCCGTCTCACGAATTAGTCACAGCTTATATAGTTAATTTTATAATTACCTCATGTTTAGTCCTCCTAATTCATATCCAAATATTCGATGTGGCAGGGACTAAGTCCCTGAATCCCAACACCCCCTTGATCTATGATTTCTGCTCACGCGATGTCTTAATTAAACGTGGTAAAAATATTATTTTGTATTAGTGTAGCATATTATATACCCATTCCCTGGTGACCCTGTCCGCTCTCTTCTATAACCACGAGTACCAAACACGGCAGGAGCAGCATGGATGATTGCATTTGCATCCGTCGGTTGGCCGTTCTGATCGATGTGTGAGTTTGTTGAAGTTTGACGCCCGTCCAGCAATACTGCTTGTGTGTACTGATCGATCGAGTGCTGAGTGCTGACCTCCTTGATCGCCAGGCCATGGCGCAGAGTAGTGGCGTAGCGCCCGGGCAGGGCGAGTTAGCCACCCCGGAAAGGCGGCTGAATTGCTTCGTGCGCTCCGTCGCGCTGATTGAAAGGCTGGGCAACGCCCTCGGCACGCTGGCCTTCACCTGGGCAACCGTCGTCCTGCTGGGTGGCTACCCGACGGGGCTTCGTGGTCAAGATGATTTTTGGTTCGCCACCACCATATTTTTCCTCGAAGCTTTCAGGTAAATACATGTAATTTTTGTATAGTACATAGATGGGTTAAAATTAGCCGAGATGAAATAGGAACACAGTGCCACGAATCCTTTTATGTCTACTGTTAGCTGTCTGCTGCGACAATGTTCTAGTACGAAGAACCCTACTAGAGTTAAATTTAAACCAAAAAAAGGAAATAAGCATGCATCATAGGAAATCAATACTACTATGTAGGAAAAAAAATAGAAACTTCCTTTTCATGTGGATATAGCATATAGCCATTGGCCCTGTTCGCTTGTTTTATAATCCGTACTTTTCAACTTGTTTTTTCAGCCGGAACAATGCTTTTCTCTCACAACAAATCAGCTGAAACAGTGTTTCGGCTTGTTTTTTCAGCGAAGCGAACGGGGCCATTGTTGTTTCCTTTACTGGTTGAGTAGCTTTTATCTTGGAGTCTGGTACCTCTGTTTGATAATGAGTATTGAAAACGTGAGCAGTGAAGTATTTCCTTGTTCAGTAATAAGTAAGGTTATCTGCATCTAATAACTGTTTGATAGATCTAACTAGACACATGTGTGTCCTCGCGTTTAATTTCTGGATCATGCTATGTTTGCTGTTTTGTTTATAACATAACATCATGCACAACTTTCAGGATGTTCAGTCGCGACAACAGAACGGATTACCGATTGTTCTTTGGCACTAGAGGTGCTTTTAGACTTCTTGGCTGGCGGAGTTGGTTGTTTCTTATAGTATATTTTAACGGTGTGATGTTGTGCATCCCTTTGCTCTCACCAGTATTGTTCCCCTCACCAGTATTGTTCCTCCCACTTCTGGGGATACTAGTTGCCATTGGCCAATTTGTGTGTCCAGGAGCTCCAAAACTGCTAGCACGCATCCCACTGTGGCTGCGGCGTGCGATAGCATTATGGAGCCCCGTGGTCGCAATCAGCTTACTGCTGGTCCCCTCTATAGTACCACAACTACAAGCATATTATTCTGGAAATTACATGATCAGATGTATAGTGTACGCGGTGCTGCTTGCGGTGGTGCTCCTAGTGACAGTTAGCAGGATGAGGTTCGCAGGTATCATCAGGCTAGTGAACATTATTCTGGGCAGGAAACAAGAGTTCTGGCATCATGTTGTTCTAAACTTGTGCATGATTGGTGCAATTGTGGCAGCATTTTCTTTCAACAGTGATTATTGGTATTGGTCGGTGGCACTTATAATGATCCCAGTGGAAACCATAGTTTTAGCTTCATTTGGCAACTTTCAGATTCCTGCGGCGGTTCTCCGAGTGGTGCTTCCTCTTATACGTTTTAAATCCATATCAAGTGACTACGACGCTACACCAAGCCCTGCACCATCACCGGCTTCGGCACCGGCACCAAGTGGTGATGTATACAATCCTAGTATAATAAACCTCGCACCATCTTTATACATCTTCTATGGGATGGTACTAGGCCAAGGAGCATTGTATCTCATGGCATGCGTGGTTGAGATCTTCTCATTCATCCCTCGAAGATTTCTCATCCGCCATGGGGGATTCAAAGGTCAGTGGGGTGTGGAATCTGTTGATTTGTACTACTCATATGCCTTGGAGAAATGCATGGAAAGGAATGTACTTGCTCCAAAGATCAGCCTCTGCAACTTTGCCATCGATTATCTAAACTCAGACTCAACCAAGAGGCAGTTCCATGGGATCCGGACTGCACACACCATTCTACAGAGGGATCCAACAAGGACACGGCTCCTTGTGAAGCTCAAAGCATCAACCGAGACGATGACCAGACTACTGAGAATGTTGCACTGGACAGGACAAGAGAATCAAACTACTATTAGATTGTGTGCGGCGAAGGTGATTGATGAGCTTGCGAAAAGCCTCCTAGTCGTCAATAGCCCTGGGATAGTTCAGAATGTGTCTCTACTTTTGGATTGGGGTAACCAACGTAAAAGAGTAAACCCACTTCTGGACGACACAGATGAGGAAGAAGAACAACAAAAGGATTTATTTGTAAATGTCACTGGTAACCGAACAGAAAGGGGAGATGCAGTTGGAGACAGTGGTTACCTGCTCGAAACACAAGAGAGCTCAACCCAGCAAATTGGTACTAGTAACAAAAAGAACTCCTGGATAACCAGACAGTGGCGACAGGTTTCTGAATTCTGGTCAATTCCCCAGGAAGGACCACTGACAGAGCAGGATCTTCTCCCAGTAATTGGTATGTCGATTATTGAAAGCTTAGCTACTTATGATCAAAGCAACTGTGCAGAGATCAGCAGCGCGGGCGATCTCATTCGGAAGATCACAAGATTCACAAGCTTTTGCAGAACTGACACCAACTATACTGACGCTGAAAAGAAGGTCCTAGTTCACTCATCATTGAAGCTATTCTACAGGCTCACAAGCATCGATGGGGAGATCGGCATAACACTGCGGCACAAGATATCAGAACATCCCTTTCTCCTGAGAAATCTCTCAGAGGTCCTGGGAGACATTACAAGTAACTATGAGACGAGGAAGGTGGCGTCAGGAATTATTAGAAACCTTGCTATCGATGCAAGCATGAGACTGGCAATTGGGCGTGTTCAAAAGATCATTACCAGATTGATGCATGCGTTTCTCACTCCAGATGAGCCCTCCAGTAGTACGGGTGCAAGTGTTTCTCACTCCAGAGAAGCCCTAAGGAAGGTCGCAGGACAAGCATTAGCAATGTTGGCAATAGGCAATGTCGGCAACTGCCTGGCTATGCTAAGGCAAACATGGTATTCATTCATCGAGGAACTCACAACCATGGTCCATGTTGAAAGGTATAGATGTGTTGCAGCAAGTTTGTTGCGGAGTGTGTGCATGCACGCTCGACCTGAGCTCAACGAGACGGACTTGAGGCAACTATCTTACATCTCACGGATGGTGAGCACTACTAATCCAAGCTACTATGTGTGCAATGTGCAAACTATGCAAAGGCTGAAACATGTTTTCATTTTCTAAAGAAACTAATCCAACCTGCTACTCACTTCGTTTCAAATTATAGTTCACTTTAATTTTAGTATAAACCATTTTTTCTAACTTCAGTCAAGTTTATGGAAAAATGTATCAACATCCATGATATCAATTAAGTTTTATTGAACTCTTTAAGAAATATCGTAATAGTGCATTTATTTTAATTTGGGTTAATACATTATTCTAAACTGATGATCACAGTAGAGAAATTTGACTTGTGACAAAACTAAAATGAATTTTGTTTGAAAGTCAACTACGGAGGGGAGAGCTTCCCCACATGGATAGTATTGATTTATCATCGATCAACGGCCTCGTTTTTAGGGAACGAGGCAAAAACCCTGTACAGCAACCCCAACACAAGAGCTAGATTATGGCATATCCACATATACACCAAAAAGAGAAAAAAGAATACTTCATGTTGCAATAAGGCTCATCTCAGATATCATAATATTTCACCGTAGGGTTGTATATTCAACACTTGACTAATTACATATAGTGTAACTGCAATATATCATATTATGTTTCATGTTGCTATTTTCATGACAGGTGCTAGAAAGAATACTCTGTGCAGAGGGTCAAGAACTAGAAATATTCATCGGCCTTAGTTCACATATATATGAAGCCATCCCTGAGGAGTTCGCCCGAGATTTTGAGTGTGGTCATATTAAGGAAAGATTTGTGAAGCGGCTTGTCGACGCGCTGAATGCAAACATGGAGCCCATTGCTAATTGCCCTGGGATCAGGAGAGTGATACTTGAACAAGCCATAAGGTTGATGAAGCAGGACCCTAGTAATGTAAATTGTTTCCGCAATCTCCGCATGATAGAGGTACTATCGAGGGTGGAGGAGACCATCTCAGAGGCGGAGAACTACACAATCTTCATGGGTGATGTTGGGCTAATGGAGGCAGGTGAACCTTTATCCTCGCTTGTGGTGAGGGCTAAACAGCTACTGGACGTCCGTTGAACAAGACAGCCATCAGAGATATATGCAGTTTAATTTGTGGGTACACAATGCACGTGTAAACTTAAGTTGCAAAGGTCTCTAGAGCTGTTACTGTCAAGGTATTTCTCCGATATGTTATTGTGGTACGTGTAACAACCCAAAAATCCACACACCAAAAATCACAACTATAAAATTTTTATTTAAACCCTATGTGATGTTGAGTGACACATGTAGAAGCCAAACCCTAGTTTTGGATTAGATGTGATCCAACTAGGTTAAACTCATAAGCATAGCTTGGTTTTATGCCACATGTGTAATTAAATTCCTAAATAAACAAATCATGCATGCATCCTTAATTTCACTTGTGATTTGGATTCTTTTTTAATGTTTAATTAACTTACTTAATATTTATGATAAACCCTAAGTAAACAATTATTTGTTGGAAGAATAAAACATCCCTATATAAAACTTCAACAATTTTTGAATAACAAAAATAGCTAATAATCCCTAATATATGGGATGTATTTTGACCACCAATTGAAACACCTTGTGGGACCCACTACATAACTCGAAGCTCAAAGTTTAAACTCTAACTAAATTTGAATCGAAGCAAAAGAAATAAAAGAGAAAGGAAAAGGAGGGAGGTAGCAGCTCAGCCCAGCCTGCCTCGACCGGCCCAGCTAGCCCAGCCAAGCCTCGCCTGCCCTTTCACGCACGCCGCCGCATCAGGACAAGTTGACAACCGGACCCCACGCGTCAGCCACCCCAGCAACAGGATCATCTTCCTCCCCACGCTGACCTCTTCCTCGACCGGGGGCCAACCAGCGTGGCAGGTGCGGGCTAGGGGGTCACACAAGAAGCATGACCTTGTTCCCCCTTGCGCCGCGCCTACGCTACCGCACGCGGGCCGTCGGATGTGTCGCACGCATCACCACCGCCCGATCACCGTTCGCCATTGGAGCCCTTGGAGCTCGGCTATAAAAGCCAACGCCCGCGAGCCCTAACCCTCAGCCCGTTCGCCGCCGCCACCGGTGGCACAGCACCACACCGTGTCAAGCCGAGAGACAGGGAGGAGGAAGAAGCAAGGAGGAGAAGGAAGCCGTTGCGGAACCGGACCTCGCCGGAGCCAGGAGCGCCGCCCTGATCGGCTACAGCGACGTAGCTGCTCGGCACGGCCCTGCATCGCCTCATCACGGCCTCGCCTCGCCACCGCACTACCATCCTACCGCCACGAGCCCTACGGTGAGCCACATCGTTCGCCGCTTACCGCGCTAGCCGTACTCGCCATGAACGCCACCGCATTCCCGCACCTGGGGAACGCAGAGGCGGAGCATTTCTGCTCCAGGACACGCTGCACACGCACTGCACGCGCACAAGCCCAAGGCCTGGCCTCGCCGACCCCTAGCAGCTCGGGAACGCCAGCGACGAGCGCTCTGCTCATGCCATGCATACACATCGCACGCACGCACGCGCTCACCATGGTCAGAGCACAACCATGGCGAGACCACCGCGTCTTCTACGTCACGGTAAAGGCGACGTTGACACCCTGACTGGCTCCGCCATGACGAGAGACACACCGTGCTCACCTTAGCCAAGGATGAAGCCCACCGGAGCCCTGCGTTGCTGCACCGCACCTCGTCGGAGCGCCACCGCCTCCGTTTTGCCCCAACCACCGTGGTCGGAGGCGCCGAGAGCTCCCGGAGCCCCTTCGACCTGCTCGCCATGGTTGTAGAAGCACCGTGGAGCTCACACGCTCCTCCAACTGGGCTCTCGCTACCACTGTAGCCTGTCCATGCACGCCGACGAACCCACACCGCCGTTCACCGTGGCCAGCCTACTGGAGCCGCCCGACCACCACGTTAACTTCACCGGGACACCCGCTATGGCATGGCCAAGCTTTTGCCCACCTTAATTGCACACCCGCGCCGCTGGAGGGGCTCGCTGGTGAGCTCACCACCGGGGGGAGCATGACGAGGAAGAAGATTGTGATTTTCCCCTCGCCGGCCACACGTCCGAGCACTTGGTGCACATGAACCGAACACTAGGAAGGAGTAAGTGGACCAAATCCTTCATAGACCGGCTCTGCGGTTTATGGACCAACACAGGCGGGTTCACCATGAACCGCGCCTCACCTGTCAGACACTGTTTGACCCCGGACCCACCTGTCAGCCGCGGTTTAGCTCGGATGGCGCCATGCTGACGTCATGCCGATGAAGAGACCACGCTAGTGTCGGGGACTTTGGCAATCTCTCCGACCATGTCGGCGACCACTCCGACCACCTCCGCGATCTCATCGACCACCTCCGTGATCTCATCGACCACCTCCACGATCTCACCGACCACCTCGGCAAGCCCTCCGACCACGACGGTGATCTCTCCGACCACTTCAGCAATCCCTCTGACCACCGCTGCAACCTTTCCGACCACCTCGGCAACCTCTCCGACCACCAGCCGATACACCACTCCAAGACCACGAGAACCAGTCACAATCTAACACGTGTCAGTCCTGAATTAATCAGCCTTAATTTAATCTTCGAAAATACATAACTAATTCATACGACCTCGGAAAAACACAAGACTAGGACCAAAATTCATCTAAAATTGAGCTCTACGCAATGAACCCATGTTTGAGTGTATTTGGCTCTTTTGAATTTTTATTGCTTCTTTGTGCTATTCTATAGGCGTCGCTAACGCGACTATAATGCGATCGTTTGCAGACTCGGAGGAGAACTAGATGGACGAGGACCGAGAGTACAGTGAGGAGTACGGAGACGACTACACTGAAGATGCCACATCCCACCCAATCTCGTAGCACCTATTACGCATGGCTAAAATAGAAATGCTAGTGCTTTACTTTATTGTTATAATCGCACTATGATAGAACTTGCATGGTAGTATGCTTTCTTGATGGCCTTTACTTTGACGCAACCTTACCCCTGCTCACCCTGTTATTAGGCTAGTCACACGCTTGCTACTATATTTCATTGCTTATTACTTCTACTACGCTTGCACTACATTGATGCGTGGTGGAAACTGGAGTTATCTGGACTATGGGGAGAGTGATGCGTGTGTGACATGGGTGTGTGGAGGGTGAGGGTTGTGTCGACCAAGTTGGAGTATACGACGAGCCTGGGGCAAGTCTTGCCGTGGGGTGCTACCTGGGCACCCCTGGAATGGATACCTGTGGTGGGTAAATGGTATATGAGGTGGCTCTGGGTGTGATCCTGTGATGGGAGGAGCCCAGGGTGGAGGTGCTGTGGTGGCACGGTAAATGGAAACCCTGATGAAGACATTCTGGCTTGGTCATCCATAAGGACTTACTAGTACTCAGATCCACCGGGAAGCCTTACGTACCACTCGCCCTATATGGTGCGGGACAGCCGGACTATTTGGTAGGATATTGCCACTACTGCTAGGTTGATAGTGGACAGTGTGAGGGAGGTACGGGGTGCGGAGGATTTCCCCCACACCCTTCCAAGACTTCATGGAGACCTTGTGGACCCGGCTCATGACTCACAGTTTCAGCCACCCCAGATTAGACTTGGGGTGTATCAGGGCTGAATGGTAGAGTGGCATTATCCTAGGCTAGCAAGCGGCCGGAATCTGCCCAGTTGACGATGGTCAACGAGGAAGGCGGATCTTGTGGTTATGTAAAACCTCTGCAGAGTGTATGGTTGATCGATCGATACATATGCCGACTTGTTGGCTATGGACCTTTCCTGGGTTTCGCTTAAACTAGATAGTGAGATGAGTCCCTCTCTTCTCCCTCCGGGAGTGAGTGTTCGGACGTAGCCAGGGGCTACGGGCCTTGAGACAGTGCCAAGAGGGAGTTGGCCTGTTGACTGAGCGATGGTATGGGTGTGGTATGGTGATGGTGTGGAGATGGTGGTATATCGATGCAGGATCGAAACCTGGCTCTGGAATGGGAATGGGGTGGAATGGGTGTGGGAATGGTGTTAAAACTTGACCAACTATTATTATGTACTTGATAAGCTAATACATAAGAAACCCCAGCCTTATAGGTTCCTTTTGATTATATCCAATTTCCACAAAGCAATGCTCATAGGGTGGGAGTGGCCAGTACAAATCGTACTGATAAATTTTGGCACACAGGCTCTGCTGAGGAGTATAGCTCCGAGGAGTTTGACGGTTGAGGGGTTCGTTCCTACGCTCGAGTTTGGCGATCTTGTCTTCAAGCTGTTCTGAATGAATGCTACTTTTGATTCCGCCAATGTGGCGATGTAATAATTTATGTAATTCCGCACTATTTGTACTCTGATATTACGTTGTATGGATGTGATATTCGACTGAAATTTGGGTAATATAATCTACAACGGTCTTATTACACTTCGACTCTGTGGATTTTCCTTCGCGGAAATCAGGTCGCTTCAGTATGTGCATTCATGTTGCTGTTTAAGTGGTTGCTGCTAGTGACATCATTATTATATTATGTGTAAGAAACTACAAGCATTTCGTTGGCTTATGTGAAACCTGGTAATAAATAAGTCGGTATAAAGCTAGTGAGTACAAATGATGTATATGATCAATTATTATCCTATATATTACACTATTGCTTTAATTTGTCATACAGATCATCAGTTGATTTTTGGGCTTAAATCGGTGCTGAACATTTGTTATTAGCATGAAGTATGTACTGAAAAAAAATATTATCGGTGTGTTTCCATGAAAAACCTGTCAATATCATGTTCACAGTTAACTCACCAATTATCTGACACATTCTCCTTAATCTCAAGGTGTTACGGAGGACAAAACGTTCGAATCAGCTGATTCATCCTTTCTAATGATATATGCTAGGATTAGGAAATCTCGGGGATGTTTGGTTCCTAAGCCATGTTGCCTTGCCCTGTTATGATAATCTCCACCAGTTGGCCCAACGGCCAATTATGTCCTTGATCCGCATCCTGATCGGGGGGGCGCTCAGCCGGTTCTAAGTGGCTGATGGGCCCTCGTCACGTAGCTCTATTAAAAGGAAGGTGGGGGCTGGGGCACATGACACACGA